GGGAGGAGCGGTGGTGACGAGGAGGGTACAGTAGTCATAAAGATGATCGTGACAGTGATGCAGATGACGCTGGTGGTGCCGAAGGCCGTAAAGACCACGATGACAATGAGGAAAATGAGAGTAGTGACGGTGGTAATGAGGACGATGAAGAGGGTGGTGAAGGAGGGTAATGAGGATGACGATGGCAATGGCGGTGGTGACGCGGAGGTGAGGAGAGTGGTGCTCACAGAGGCGGTAACTGCTGATGAAGCTGATGGCGGTGGTCACGACAGTAATGGAAACCCTGAGGACGGCAGCAGTGATGAAGGTGACAGCTGTGATGGTAGGAACGAGGGTGAAGAGGAGAATGATGGTGTGGGCAATGACGGCGGTCATGAGGATAACAATGATGATGAACACCATGATGACAGGAGCAAGCAGGAAGATGTGTCAAGGGTGAGGGTGGTGATGGTGACAATAACGACAATGATAAGATGACCCAAATGAGGATGGCAGCAGGGGTGGTGGTGGTGTAAAATGAAAATGATGGCAATGATGACGGTCAAGATGAGGATGATGACTAGGGCGGTGACAGTGCAGTAAGGATGATGGCAGTTATGGCATTTCACAGACTATTACTCTGGCACCTGCTTCATACACATCCCTCCTAGCCTTTCTGTACTCCCACAGGACCGGAATGAACCCTCTGCATAAAGACAGGAACTCAGGATCTGAGAGCTTGTAGACAATAGAACCAGGATGCCAATCTGAACCCGTTTGACTAAGCCCTGACTCTCTGTTGTACATGAAAAAAGATAAGCTTTCTATAAAAGACTGAGAAGAGTAGAATATAAAGTAGCATAAGTAGCTATAACCAATAAACAAATTATATCTTAAAATAAACCCTAACGGGCATAAAGTAACATTATCAATGATTGTCTTTGACCAATGTTCTTCTATTTTCTCTACTGTAATATTTTTCAAAAATTTAGTAATGCACACTGTTATTTTTATATCGGTACACGTTTTTATATATCATAATATTGTGTTTAAAAGTATATATTGTAGTAAATTATCTTTATACATGAAAGCAAAAATGCTTTCATGTCACAACAGTGTTAAGTTTAATCTATTGTAGTAAATTTTTAAAAGTCCTTTCAAATATAGGTTGATGACTTACGTTTTCTTGTTTTGAAATAATCTTCTGGTATAATTCATCGTCAGATTTCTTTTTAGGAAGAAGATCGTGGAGGCACATTTTAAAAATCTGAATAAACATCTATTACCAGAAAAGGAAGCATAAGAGAAAGGTTTAAACAATGGTCTCTCTTTCTCTCCCTGTCTCTCTCCTCACTCTCTCCCTTGTTCTCTCTCTCTCTCCACCCACACAGCTTTTGCTTTAGGAAAAAGACCTAGCTTATAAACCATAACAATGACTCATAGTGTATTACATTTTCATGATGCTTTGAATGGGTACTTCATTTCTTCTTAATTCATTTATTTCACAAGGACTAGAACATATTCTATGCAAAGCCCTCCCCCTTTTTATATAAGTCAAGAAAAATCAGGACTAGCAGTTGGTGTAATGGCTATGTCGCTGGACTCCCACGTAATCGACCATGGTTCAAGTCCCAGACCTGGTGGCTTAAACTTACGCCAGGCACATGTGCGTGTGTGCCCAAGATCCCGAGAGGAGAATGGAGGAGAAGGGATTGCGGCATGGCCATCCCCTCTGGGGGCTGGTTTCTTGCTTTCTGTCTCTCTGTCTCTCTCTCTCTGTCTTTTTGGCGAGCACACATGCCCTATAGCAAAAACCTCTCCCCACCCCCCCACCTCCCAAAAAAATGAAAAGGCCAAGGGACTTGCTTCCATGTAGAAAGACTCAAAGCAATAGTGGCATGGAACCAGGATATGTCATGTCGTCCACTATCTCCTGCCTCATATGGAGATGTCCTTTAAACCAAGAAGGGTCCTCCCTTGGGGTTAGAGGGTGGTGTAGTGGTTGAGGCACTGAACTCCCACATGGCCGACTATGGTTTGAGTCCTGGGCCTGGCAACTCGAAAGTTATGCTCAGTGCGTGGGCATGTGTGCCCAAAATCTCATGAAGAAAATGGAGGAAAAGAGATTGCAGCATGGCCATCTCCTCTGTGGGGTTAATTTCTCACTTCCCCCTCTCTCTGTCTCTTTGTCTCTCTCTGGCAAGCACATGTGCCCTATGGCAAGAACCTAAAAACAAAAATTGCCCCCCCCCCCGCAAGATACCAGGAGGGTTCTGCTGCCCAGAAATTGCTCAACCAGTCACCCACTGTGGAACATCTGGGTTTTCTCCAATTTGAGTATTTTATAAATAACGCCACTATGAACATGCATGTAGGTTTTTCTGGGTTCAATGTCCCTAAGTGAAGCTGCTGAGTCCTATGGTAACTGTGTGTTTAGTTTGATCAGAAATTGTTGAGATGTTGTCCAGAGCGGCTGTGCCATTTCACACTCCCAGCAAAGTGCGAGTGTCCTGGCCAGCATTGGATGTTGGCACGATTTTTAAATTTTAGTCATTCTGGGGCCAGCAGTTAGCATAATGGCTATGTCGCTGGACTCCCATGTAGTCAACCGTGGTTCGAGTCCTGGACCCGATGGCTTAAACTCACACTGGGCGTGTGTGCGTGCGTGCCCAAGATCCCGAGGGAGCATGTAGGAGAAGGGATTGCGGCGTGGCCATCCCCCCTGGGGGGTGATTTCCTGCTTTCTGTCTCTCTGTCTCTCTCTGTCTGGTGAGCGCACGCGCCCTATAGCAAAAATCTCTCTCTCAAAAAAATTTTAGTCATTCTGACAGAGGTGTAGTTATACCTCACTGTGGTTTTAACCTGCATTTCCCTAATAGCTTAATGAGGTCGAACACCTTTTCGTGCGTGTTTACTAGCCATATGTAAATCCTTGGTAAAATACCTGTTCATATTTTTTGCCTATTTTTTAACTGAATTGTTTCCTTTTTTTCTATGCATTTTGAGAGTTAACATATTCTAGATACTAATCATTGTGAGATATGAAGTTTGTAAATATTGGGTTGTCAAAAAAGTCATGATGCATTTTTGCATAGAAAAAAACATGTCATGATTTTTCTAACATCCAATATTTCTTCTTATTCTATGCAGCTATGATGACGCCGGTCACGGCCCCAACACAGAGCCCTGTCATGATTTTTCTAACATCCAATATTTCTTCGTATTCTACGCAGCTATGATGACGCCGGTCACAGCCCCAACACAGAGCCCCAGGCTTTGTGCACAGAACCTTCTCAAAGTGCCTCAGCTGGACTCCGAGTCATTCCACATGGAAGAGCATAAATCTTTCTTACACCTTTCAAATCTTTAAATCTTTCTTAAAGTAGCCCAGGGAGGGGAAGTGACTTATCCTAAGTCACATAGGGTATGAGTGACTCTAAGAGTCAGAGAGTAGAATACAGCCCCATGCTCCAACCCTAACCCAGGCCCCTTGCCTACGTGCCTCTCCCGGGGAAGCCCCTGTCTCTCCAGCCATCCTGCTCGGGTGCCCCTACACGCTCCCACACGCTCTGCCATGCTGCTCACACTGTATACTTCGTAGTATCTGTTTACCGCCCTCGCTCCAGCCCCAGACAGTGGGCTCCACAAAGGCAGGGCTGCCACTGGTGTCTGACACAGAGTCTGGAAGGTAGGGTAGACTGCACAGCTGTGCTGGGCGGTGAGTGAGGATGGATGCTCCCTTCTGGACAGTAGGCTGCCCTTTGCTGTGGGTACTCAGTGGCTGCTCTAGGGGCAAGGCTAGCCAGGACCACTTCACCCGCCAGTGGGATGAGGCTGTGCGCACAGAACCACTGATGCTGGTCCAGCCGCACGGGCACATGTGGTAGAACGTCACTGTGTGATGCTGGAGCTGCACAGAGGCTGGAGTTCAGACCCCAGACCTAGACGCAGACACAGTGATCCGTGTCTGCATTCCTGGCTAGCTGGGAGTGGCGGTGGGAGGATCAGAGCATGGCAAAACTCTCGAAAATACTTCTCTGTTTCTCTCTCTATCGCCCTCACTCTCACTAAAAAAATAAAGAAAACAAATTTAAATTTTTTTTTTTAATTAAAAAAAAATAGAAACAACAGATCATTTCAGAGCACAGAGCTTTTGAGAAAGTATTGGGTCATGGGAAAAGTCATGATGCATTTTTGCATAGAAAAATACGTCATGACTCTTTTGACGACCAAATAGCAAGGGCCGTGATCCCTCAAGGGAAGCCAGGTATGACCACCAAGGGCAGCCCCTGTCAGAGCCTCATGTCCAAGGACCTCCAAGGGGTGGGGTAGGTACAGGGCAGGGGCAGGCTGTATTTTTGTACTGCTAATACATCTAAGAGTTTCAACTCTTAGTGTGTATTTATGAGGCCAGTCCAGCTCGTAACGAGCCAAAAATTCTTGGGACCAGCAGTTAGCATAATGGCTATGTTGCTGGACTCCCATGTAGTCAACTGCGGTTCGAATCCCAGACCCGGTGGCTTAAACTCACGCTGGGCACATGTGCATGCATGCCCAAGATCCCGAAAGGAGAATGGAGGAGAAGGGATTGCGGCATGGCCATCCCCTCTGGGGGGTGATTTCTCGCTTTCTATCTCTCTCTGTCTTTCTGGCAAGTGCACAAGCCCAATAAGGAAAAAAAAAAGGGGGCCAAAATTTCTTGTAAGTGCATCCCCAGCTTGATTTCCATGTTTCTCCGGTCAACAGCAGTGTCTTGTGGGCATATCTGTCTGTAACCCTGTTTCTCTGTCGCTCTCTCCATCAACCTCTCTCCCTTTCTCTCTATAGGTCTCACCCATATTCAATAATTCAGAGAATGTGGGGGCCCGATGGTGGTGCAACAGTAACACAAGAAGGCTCTGCAAGGCTAACCCACATGGGAAAGTTCCAGGTTCTAGTCTGGAGCCCTCCACAAACACGCTAGATGCACCTGTGCCTATGTTCTGAGCCAGCTGAAGCTCAGGATAGGCTGCAAGGTGAACTCTGTTGGGGGTGCTCACATGCTCTGTCTCTGTTTCTCTCACTCATAGAAGAAAGAAAAAAATATAAATACCGGGAACCAGCAGTTAGCGTAATGGCTATGTCGCTGGACTCCCACGTAGTCAACCGCGGTTCATATCCCGGACCCGGTGGCTTAAATCTCACGCCGGCGCGTGTGCATGCGTGCCCAAGAACCCGAGACTAGGATGAAGGAGAAGGGATTGCGGCGTGACCATCCCCCCTGGGGGGTGATTTCTCGCTTTCTGTCTCTCTGTCTCTGTCTGTCTGGTGAGCGCATGCGCCCTATAGCAAAAACCTCTCCAAAACAATAATTCAGAGAATGTGCCTGGGAGAAAAATAATTTCTCTGTTTAAGTCCTCTAGTCCCGACACCTAGCTACACTCATCAACGGTTCTGTAGCCACAGTGGGACTCCTCTCTCGGCTTTCCTTGCTTAGAGCCAGGGCTGGTTCAGCCAGAGATCGCGTGTATCTATCAGGGACTAATCCTGTTTTCTAAATGCCTACAGCTGCCTCCCTACTTGTTCCATAAAGAACCAAGCCTGTCAACAGGTGCTGTCTCCGCTGCAGACCTACAGCTACGGCTCTGGGCAAGGCCGCCTCTCTGTGCCTCAGCTTCATCTGTAATGTGGAAATAACCATGGCATCTACTCTCTGGGTTCCGTACGACACTCCTAGGACCAAGTGCATAGTAAGCCCACACATTGTTTTTCTTATACATATTAGTATCACTATTATCATCTTCTCATCCCCTTCGAAATGCTGTTTCCTTTTAAATACTGCTTATCTCTGCTCCCATCAGCAGGGCTCCCT